CGCTTTCGAGTCAATGGGCAATCCATCAGCCATAGTCGATCGGCAGTCGATCGGGAGAATATACACGCCGCGGACAATCCGTCAAACAAACGAATTAAATAAAGAAACAAATTAAAACTTCAACTTAAACCAAAAGTGTTGTGATTCTGCTAACCTTTCTATTTCAGTTGCTGGCCGAGTTCCTGGTTTTCAAAATAAAGTCTTGCAAATTATAAATAACTTGTAATTCAGGACCCTGGATAGACTGACGCCTATCCCAGCCTGAGATAGGTCCTTACAGCTTATAGGAAGCGACGCTAATCGACGAAATGCGCGTTTACTAAATCTATTTTTAGTTTTATCTCTGCTACTCGCACTTTTCCATCCAATCCTTGAAAAACCTTAGTGTGAGCAGCAAACTCCGTGGTGAAGTCTTGAAGTTCTCGGGCTGCACCGACAAAGTTCGTGGCATTGTCGCTGTATAGTCGAGCAACAGGCACTCGTCGTCCTAGGAACCTTAGAATTAGAATTTAGAAGTTGTAACGAACCATGGTTTTAGCCATAGCTCGCCACGAACAGCGGAGTGTTAGCGCATCCATGCTGGTCGGAGACAATAATCACACTGATATACACAGAGCCAACGAACCATGGTTTAACCCGGTATCCACAAATAACGGTGTGTCAGCACCTCCGGAAAATAAAATAGTCTTAAGCAACGCACGCAATTAGTAAAATTTAAGAACTCTTGATCACCAGCTCTACCCATTCTGCATTATTTCGCGATCAGCGAAGACAGCACGAAATTCTTGGTCACCCACTTCTTGGCGATATTTCACAACCACTCGGCCTCGAATCATCGACCTACCATTCACCTTCTGCGATGCAGAGTTAGCAAAACCTCATTTCTAAACCCAATTCCCAACTGCAGCCCGCACCGACTGCGATGCAGTCTCAGAAGCATGCAGTCTATCAGCCCGAACACAAGACACTGCACTAGGCAGTCACAATCCACTAGCCCACATCACATCTAGCAAGACCAGCAGATCTCGCATTGTAAACAAGTAAAACGAATAAAGGCAGTAAATAATAAACAAAACCCCAAAAGTTACCGCGTCATCAATTCTCCCACCTTGCCTACTTCTCTTTCGGACATTTTAAGGCCAGCCCCGAACCTTAAGTTCCAGCAGATCTACAAATTTCTTGTAGAGGACCCTGGACAGGCTGATGCATATCCCAGCCTGAAATAGGTATCTTACTAAGTCAAATCTGTTACAACATCCAAATGGATAGCTTTGGTGACAAAACACACAAAAATTGCAATATACATCTTTACGGCGAAACCTGAATCGGAACACAAAAGTCCACTCCACTAACTTCAAATGGAAATTGTCCATTTAGTCGATAAGTGGGTAGATTTTCCATGACTTGTGACAACAGTCGAAGTTTATATCTGAAGCAAAGTGTACACTGGCAAACGACCGCGATGCAATGGACCTGTGAAGATGTTCGACATATAGTTTAGCAAATCGGCAATTTTTAGGCAATAAAAGTGAATGCTTCGTATCGTATGGTAACGGAGCATTTAATAAACGACCGCCAACACGCAAAAGAGAAAACGTCCGTTGTGTGTTGATGCGGAGTTAGCTTCTGTAAAGATGTTTGAAGCATTTCAGATTTCTCCAGTTTGTGAATCTCCTCCATAAGATTCCACTTGTTGAATGCTGTGTACCACTGTCGGAAAAGCGTACTCTAGCTCTGTGGCCGTCGCTACATGGGTGTGGAATTGCAGAGACTTTTTCCACGTATGAAACGTAACATGTAAGCAACAATTCTTAAAATATTAAGATAATTTGAATGGTTCTCAATTAGGCAAAGTATCTCAGTTGCAACAAATACCGACGTTGCAGACCGTTTTCTAGACCTTTTTTCGTCCTCCGAAAATGTAAAATGTGGGTTGTGAGACCATATATCCATACATTCAGTTAAGACCGCTGGGGCAGTTCGAGAACCACGAGGGTGAGATTTTGCGTCGCTAAGGTATTTAAGACACTTGACATCTAAGAAAGGTGCTGTGGCAGTCCCATATGTAGCCGTATTAAGTCGGTATATCTGCAAAAGTTTGGTTAGGTTTTTCCTCCAAACAATCAAGTGGAATTGACGCTGATCCTCAATGATCTCAATCTGACGATACATTTTCGTTATATCTGCCGACATTGCACAGGTATGAAAACGAAAGCGTAGAAGTATTGAAAATAGACAGGGTTGAATTGTTGGCCTGACCATAAGCAAGTCGTTTAACGACAGGTGTGTTGACGATTTACTCAACGCGTCAAAGACAACACGTAATTGTCGGCTAGTGTCCTATGCCCTAATCCCAGATACTAATTCATAAAGTCAATGTACAACGAACGAACCTCAGGTTGCCCTTGCAGCCTTCGCTCTAACGATAAGTATCTTCGTTTGGCAGTTTCGACTGAGTTGCTTAAGCTCGCTGGACTTTATTTGAAGGGTAAAGAAACCTTTAGCCGACCCTAGGGTAGTTGTGTAATGGTTTGATTAAACCATTTCTCGCAAAGTTGTTGTTCTGGGGTGTATCTTTCGGTGACCGAAACATTAGGAATTTCCTCAAACTCCCAGAACTTCTGAACAATAGTATTAAGGGATGTCTCTTGTTTAACACTTACGAGACAGGTTGAGTCTTTAGACCGATTATTCAGTGTTTTATATCGACCTGACAAAAACCCACCAAATACCGTGTTTTGCAGTGACAATTTATCCGTGGCGCTTTTAATGTGACCTGCATTCAACAATTCAAAGAACGCATCTGCGCCTAAGAGTAAATCAACTCTCTGGGGCTTGTAAAGCATCGGATCTGCTAAGGCAAGGTTATGTGGAATGCCTAAATCTACATCTTGAATCGCCTTTTCCGGTTGATGTGACGAAATGGATGGCAAAATGCTCAAATCTGCCGTCATCTAAAAATTACTCGTCCGCGAAGCTGTTGTGGTTTGAACCCTGTAGTCAGTTGACGAGTTTGACTTTCCTATTCCAAGCAAGTGTATCGGCTTTCTCACCCGTTGCAGTTTCAAATTGCAGGAAAAACTGTCGGTTATAAAATTGATTTGGGAGCCTGGGTCCATAATAACCTTGCTGTTTGGTAGTCTCCAAGGCGTCTTACGAGGGTTAATTTGGGACGTCCGACGTAGACGGAATTGGTTGTGTTGTCAAAGCCTGCGATGACGTGGTACCATACCGGTGTAGCAAACAAACTTAGAAATGAGCTGACTTGCAGGCTGTGACATTGTATCCCTTGCTCACTACGAGCACCCAATTGTTTATGGAGGTTGTTAAGGTTGTTAAGTTTGCTCATATATAAACATTAAATTGAATTTACTGTTTGACAGTTGTTTGCTGTCGATACCCCGTCGATAGCCCGAATAATTTCAGTATTTTGTAAAAATAATAGACAAAATACGGCAACACTTGCCACAGGGCCCTTCTATCCCCAGGGCCCTTATGGGCATCATTGTCGCATGTTCCATTTAACGGAAAAATCCAATCATGCTGCCCGGTGTAAAAAGGCAGTTGCTATCAACTTCGACAGACAGCAACGATTCATATAATGCCCTTACAGTGTCGATTAAAGTTCGCAACGCAGTAGCAGACGGACTTGGAAGGCTGGGTAAATCAAATAACTTTAAAACCCCTTCGAGAAATGTTAGGCACTCATTATCGTACACATTCTTCAATGCATCTAGGACTTTACTATGATTACTCTCCGTAACTTGGAAGGTCTTTACTGTAACTAAAACCTCATTCTCAAGACAGGAAAGCAGATGGTTAAACTTCTTTACATTTGAAAATTGGTCATCATCGTGCACTAACGTATTGAAAAGACCTATAAAGTTTTTATACTCCGAATAAACTCCAATAAACTTTGGTGACTTCTTTTTTGGCAGCTGCTTATGATGCACAGTCGATGTATTTAGTGCAGGGCTCGGCACGGCCTTATCTAATGAGCATAAGAAAAGGCGCTGCTGCTGCGCTGCTGGTACACGTACAGTATCAAAAAGCAGCAAGCCTTCGAGTGGCTTCGGCAATGAGATTTCGGCTCTTGTTGCCTTTTTTTTCACAAAGCGAGAGCGAAAATGAAATCAGTTGTGCTCAGCCGTCTATTTGATGCAACACTGATAGAAAACATGTTTAATGAAAATTGGGAACAAAGCTTTTCTTCATCCAAAATATGGATGGCGAAGCGCAATGCGTCATATGTTATTAAGTATCATCACGAAATAATTGCAAATTTTACTTCAAATCGTTTGTCGCAGTGTAAAGCATTTTTGCTACACTTGTCACTTTATGCTAATAGAATTTGTTTCCTTCTTTCGGAAACAACATCGAAATCGGAAGACATGGTGTGGATTGGTTTTTAGTATATTTTTCGACTGCCTTCATTTATTTTAGCCGCTCCATGGAGTTCAGCGCATATGAGCTTTTTCCCAGGCAAGCGGTAGCGAGTATAACAAAAGAGAGGGGGAGAGAGAGTGATCTTAACAGCGCTTTATTTATGCTTTCATTTCTGATCATTTAAATAACTTATTTGTAGGTAGTTTAATTTCATGATAATTGAGATATACAGAGATATATATATACAGAGATATATCGATAATCAAATCGGGCTGCCACAGCTGTTCGGACGAATCCACTATTTGTTGTTGCCCTGACCAATTTTTTCCGATCGAATTTCGAGGTTGGTTGAAATAAAAGTTATAAAATTATTTATGAACAAAACTTAATTGCGCTGGTAATGGTGTTAAATCCATGTCAATGCATCTATTTTTTTTTCCTTTTGCAATTAATATTCGTTTTGTTGGCGAGAAATATGTTTACGTTTTGAAAACGGAAAAGTCTTGGGTTTTACGAATCCGGGAGTTCCTTTTAACGAGTAAATCACACATTTTTTGTGAAAGTGAAAACCGGAGCCTGCCTGTATATGGTCGGGAGGGGTAGGCGTAGTCCGATTCGTCAGAAAATTTTTATATTAAATTAGAATCCTAATATTACAAAAAGGCGAAATTTTCAAGTCTATATTCACGATACAAAGAAAGAAGAACCGTTATGTTAGAAGAGCACAAAAATAGTGACCGTATGACTTACTTAGTGTACGACCTAACACCTGGACTTCATTCTGGTTATAATAATAATGCAATCTTGTAGACATGGTCATTCTTTATGATTCTGAGCTATCGGTTTTTTAGTATCTATAAAATTGTGGATACTGCAGATTTTCGTCTCTTTTTGTGAGGCGGAATTTTAAAATGTTGTTGCTCTAGCTCTTATAGTCTCTGAGATCTATAGTCAAAATAGATGGGCGGACGGACATGGCTATATAGACTCGTGGATTGACGCTGATCACGAATATTTGTATGTATATGGTTTACTTGACTACACAACTAATATATCCCCAATACCGGGTATAAAAAATACTTTACAAAAAGAACATGTAATTATTCCCGTACTCAAAAAACAGTTAAGTTAAATATAATATATTTGTGGTAAAAGTGGATGTGTGTAACGCAGAGAAGGAAACGTTTCCGACCCCAAAGAAAGAAAATCTGTGGCAGGTACAATTTTAAAGATACTATAAAACTAAAAACGCAGTATCGTAAAAAATGACCATTTCTACCAGATTGCCGAATCTGAATCAGATCGGATACGGCCAGAATGAAGAAATTTAATTTTCTGTTGAAGAAATGAAGAAATTTAATTTTCAGTTGTTCCCCCGCCTACTTCAGCTAGAGACCCGCTACTCATTCTCTTTCTCGCTCGCACACTCTGCCGCGTTCAGTGCGCGAGCAACCCCTAGCGGAGGAGATGTAAAATCTAAATGATACATATGTATATAATCTACATGCTAGATACATATACATTGCATATGTAGATAACAGATGTAGAAAAAAAATCTAAAATGTAAAATTTTTTTTAAATTCTAAAATTAAAAAAAAAAGCCATAAGGTCAAAAATGTATTTACTGACTGAGTTCGTTGATTGCTAGCCTCTCCGCTGGCAAGCTTCCCATCTCCGGCGCCTCGGGAAGCGCCCTTTTGTTGCGACATTTTTGGCAAGTTTTCGCTATGGCGCGAACTCTTGCCCTCAGTCCTGATATGTGATACAACTGTCGCATCTCGTTGACCACGATCTCCGTAAGTTGATGCTGAAAATAATCTATAAGAAGATGAGTGATGTAATGTCCACTGGGTAGGATTACTGGCCGTTTCAGGTTCCTTGATATGCCGACCGATCTATCTATGCGGCCGCATATTCTCAGTACACCTGCTTCATCAAGATATGGCGATAATTTATAGATCGAACTTTTCTTACTCACGATGCCTCCTTGCCGTATAAGGGTAGTTTCCTCTGGGTAAGCCTCTTCTTGGATCATCCGGTTGATAACGTTTTTGACGTCTTCTATGTCGCGAAGGTGTGTGGCTAGTTTTGCTTCCTCCGACGCTAGATCCCTTTTGCATATTTTGGTCAGAAATCGCATCACGCATCTTAGTGCTCCTCTTAACCTTTCCCACTTGCCAAACAATATATATTAGGGACGATGCTGCTTAGCCTTGATAGCTGCGTCGACGTGAGCGTCTTCTTCAACTCGTGTACGTGTATCCGTTCCAAATTACTAGGGCTTAGCTGTGTAATCGGCCAGTGTTCTTCTTCTTCGAATAGAAACGGTGGACCGGAAAACCATCTTGCGTCTGGGTCAAAACTCGATTCCTTTGTCCACTTCGTTCCGTCGTCTGCTACGTTCAGAGTGGAGGGTACCCATCTCCATTCCGATATATTTGAGTTTTCCAGAATCTCCCCTATTCGTAGCGCCACGAACTGATGGTACTTACGGGCATTTGAACATATCCAATACAGCACGTTCTTCGAATCGGTCCAGAAAACACGTCGCTCGACGTCAACGGAAAGCTCCTGAGCAATGAGCTTTGCCAGTCGTAGGCCTATGATCGCTGCCATAAGTTCCATCCTGGGAATAGAGATCGGTTTCAATGGTGCGAGTAGTGTGCACCGGACGTCTCCTTGTTTTTCGATCCTCAGGTAAGCGACCCATAACCGTGCCCATAACGACCAGCGTTGGCGTTCGTTCTCTCCGACTGTTTCGTCCCAGCCTACGTCAGACCTCCACACATCCTGCAGTATAATCTTTGCCTGTATTATGTAGAAACCTAGTAGTCCTAGAGGATCGAATATGGTCATGACTATGCGTAAAATTAGCCGTTTCGTCACCGTTTTCTTTTCGTCGTATATGTCATCCTGAAACTTATTGACGAATGTGAAGTAGTCAGTTCTTGGATCCCACCACATCCCAAGCACGCGTTCCCGTCTTTTCGAATCCGTCATCTCTATGGCGCGTTCTTGATGGTCTGCATCTCCCAAAAGCGCTCTCATTACGGTATTTGAGTTGGATACCCAAACTCTTATCTCGAAGCCTCCTTCCTTGTGTACGTTTCGCAGCTCCAGCGCTAGGCGGACCATTTCGTCTTCGGAGTCGCAACTTTGGAGCAAATCGTCTACGAAGGTGTTTCGTAATATGGCCTCTACTGCCTCTGGTTTCTGCTTTATGAATCTTTTTGCGTTTCTGTCTCTCACGTGGGTCGCTGCTGCTGGGGAACAAGAAGCACCAAAAGTCATTACGCTTATTACCTATCCGGTTCTCGACTGTTGTCGCCGTATCTCCAAAGAAATTGCTGTGAGCTTTGGTCCTCCGAACGTATCATAACCTGGTGAAACATTTCACGGATATCTCCGCAGATACCGATGGACTTCTCTCGAAAACGCGATATTACTCCTACGAGCGACGGCAGTTGATCAGTGCCTTTAAGTAGCATTGAGTTAAGAGCAGTGCCTTCCACTTTGGCTGCTGCGTCCCACACGAGTCTTAATTTGCCTTTGTTTGGGTTTTTGGTTAAAATACCAGGAGCGCTTTCCCTCGACCATTTCATCTGTTTTAAGTTTCCGGACGTAGCCAATGTCTTCGTACCTCTGGATTTGTTTGTTTACAAACTCTCGTAGCTCATTGTCGCGTGTCATACGGGATTCTAGGCACCGAATTCGTCGCATGGCCATATTTCTGGAAGATGGAAGTTCCACGTTGTCGTACCGCCAGAGAAGTCCTGTTTCCCATCTCTTCATATCGCTGAGGAACCTCGTGGTATTGTCCAGTATGGAATTGGCTCTTTCACCTTCTTTGGACCTGAGTGTTTTCTTCGACATATTTACGCCTACCGCGTCCAATGAGAAGCTCTCTTTTATGAGATCGTCTAGCGATTGGTGGTTATTACATTCGCATACATGCATTAGACGCAGGCTTGCCGGTCTGTCACCCTTTCTGCGGCCATAAACAGACCAACCTAACCTGGACTTGGTGGCGATGAACTCTGAAACTTCGCGCTCTTTCACGGTCACTGCAACTCAAAGTTTCACGTTGTCCAATCCGATGATCAACGACGCTCTTACATCCTTGTAGCCGAGTATCAGTAGCTTTTCCAAGTGCGAATACAATTTTAGGATTGAATTGTTAAGCGTCTGCTTCGGTAGATCCAGGTTTTTGACTGTCCTCACATTTAGGAGCGTAAATTTGCGCGCCGCGTTGTCCTTTGCCGAGATCGTTAAGATTACCCACTTGGATTCTGCTTCTCTTTGCATGATGTCTCCCGTCCAGCGTAAGCATAACTCGTCCGAGGGGCCGTCTTTTCCGTTTTTTCCGTCTCGATCAGGGTACAGGCGGATCCATCATCTATCAATGCGGACACTTGCATTTGGCCGCTAGGCCTGTGCAATGTTAAGGGGACATATCTAAACAACGCAGCTTCGTTCTGCATTGTGTGTAGAACTGTAGCTTCTTCCTTTATCTTGTTTACTACCTTAGTACTTTGCTGGTTACTGTTGTGAAGGATAAAATGATGCTTTCTCGAGCATCCATCGACGGAGTATATTCTTTTTGACCTGCAGTGTCTTATAAAATGCTTGCCAAGGCACCTCCAACAAAGCTTACTTTCTTTAACGAATTCTGTGCAGTCGCGTATGAAGGGGTACCGCTCGGCATTGTCTCGTTTGGATTCAGCCCAATAGGCATTCCGATCCGATTCGCCCCAGTCAATCCTAAATTGTGGTCTCGGGTACAGCTGGGAACTGCTCTGTTCCAATCTCCGCTTAGGACCGCAGAGCTCATAAGACCTCCCTCGAAAGCACTGGCATTGGTCGGCCTTCCCATAGGATCCGCTCCCCGCTGAGCGAACGCTTTCAAGTTATCCATGGAGCTCGTTCTAGGGGAAGAGACATGATCAATCCATCCCCCTCCGTTGGTATGCTCTGGTACTTGATGACGTTTTGGAACTGCGATGGGCACGTTAGGTGCGGTCTCTGCCGTCGACGAGATCACGTCTATGCTCGTATTCCTAACGTGAGACATTTCACCTTCACATCCCTCGGTTTCAGGACCCGTACCATTCGTCTTTTCAGGCGCGTATAAATCTCTTAGTTCAAACGGGTTACTACCTCCAGATTCCGACTGCTGACCATTAACTCCATCCATTTGTACTCGATGTGTTTTGCCGCGTAGTCTTAGGTTTGAGGTTATACACGAACCTCGTGTCGCTCGAATGTAAGAGATTAGCCTTTCTGTTCAACTCTATGAGGATATCTCACCTGCAATGTCGAATCTTCTCGTGACGCAGCTGACTGTGTCGCACGCCGATCCTCTTTTAATCGGTCGCAATGATTCGACTTGCACTCCGCTAAAGCAGGTTTAGTTTTTTAGAATATTGCCTCGCCGGGCAACGCCCCCAAATCTTGGCCGTACGTTTGGTCTATCGTTCAGTAATTCAATGTTCTTTATTCACAGGTGTTTAGTGTGGATAATTATGATTATTTAAGTTTACAAATGAAGTGATCTATATACAGAGGAGCTAAAAACTTGTACCGCTCTTCAATTTAACCTGAGCTGCTTTTTTGCACGCGTCTTTGCTCTTTTTCGTTTCTTGTCGTTTTCTGCCATTCGCCCTGATTAACCTTTCCTTCTTAACCCTTTTAATGCCATTCGCCCGGCTTAACCCTTTGTTCGGCTTATTTTAGTTTCGGTACTGTTAGGCGCAAA